CGAGGATCCCGATCCTCTGTAGACAGCTCGACGGAGTTGACAATGTTCAATCCACAAATGGAAATGATCCCAAACTCCCTGATGATTGCTGTGTAGAATGCAAATCTCAGCATTCCAACATTCAACGCTCCACCCAAATATCCACGAAAATTTAAAAATAATCAAAATCCAAATATTTAATATTCAAAATTAAGTCATCAATCACTTAAAGCAAACATTCATTCACCCTCTGCAACAGTTTATTGGGTGAACAAATTGAAATTTATTTCAGCTCACATATAACCAATGCCTATACGAAAATATCACTATTGTCCATTCTCAAATAATCTCCTGATAGAGGACGTGGTAGGTGTCCTCTGATCAGCAGTTTTGCCGCTAAAGGGCACCACAGGATAAACAGTTATGACCTGGGACCCTCTAAACCGAATAGTTTTGCCGCTAAAGGGCACCACCAAATTACGGTTATGTCCAGAGCCAATACGTTCTTTGGTGGCATCAAATCTTTGAAATATGAATCAATAGGATATGATTGATAGGGAACACAACCCTCTATTAGGTAAGGTGGATTCAAATTTGTCTCTTCAGACAAACATCCATCCCATGTCTACAAGGTACCCTTCGACGATGCAACCCATGGCTGCCGACAAGGATCCTTCTTTCAGGTTGGGTACCTCCTCTAACTAAGTATACCAGGGACCACGATGGCTCGGGATGACGGAACCATGGGATATTGATCGGGTCCATCATCCATTCCCTCACCATTCATTTTAAGTGCAAGATGGTGAAATATTGGATTAGTGTACAGTAGTAGCAAATTTCATATAGGATTTGGAATTTACCGCCTCACACATAAAATGGATGGTGTGGGGAATGATGACGAACCCGATCAATATCTTATTGTTCTGTCATTCCAACTTGTTATGAACCTTGGTCTATTTAGTCGAAGGAAGTAGTTGACCCAACTTGACCGAAGGTTCATAGCTAGCATACATAGGTTCCTTCTTTCAAGAGCATCTTGTAGACCTATGGTGGATGCTTATCTAAGAAGATAGGTTAAGCAGACTTTAGCTTATAGATGACTTTTTAAGTTTTATCAAGTGAATCCTATGACTCATTACTCAAGAGTTTCTAGCTATTGGGAAACTTGTGAGCTCGGGAAATAATCATAATTTAATGGTGTCATTTCACAACAAAATCATTAGATTAGAGAGCCTTGGTCATAGTTGTTTTTACATGTGATGTCATTGGGTGGTAGAATAATAATTTAGAAGACACGTGTCACACTCTTGTTTGCGAGAGATCATTCGAAAATGTTTGATGTGCTCGATGATATATTACTTTTTTGTGGGCTAAGGTTTTTCTCAAATTTATCAGCCTTGATAATTGTTGCAGAGAATAGGTAAATTTTTGCTTTAAGTTATAAGAGAGAGATTTTGCTAAAAATATTTTTATATTTTGAAAGCTTTTAGATTTTGTATACTTTTGAGATTTAAGACCAAAGTAATTTGCTATGAGATTTTGGGGCATTTTGACATATATAGTCTCCTCCGATAGATTTATTTTCAATGCAGCCATCATTAGAGCATTTATATATTTTATTTTTCTTATTTGAACGTTGTCAATTCTACCTATTTATTTGTAGATGATCAAGTTCAAGTATCAATTTTGTGAATTGTCATATTAGCGTTGAACTCGAAAGTTTGTATTTTGTAATGAATTTTTTATTTAAAAGACATTGACGACTTAATGCCAGCTTAAAACCAGATATTTTTGTTGGTTTTATAATTGTATGCTCATTCATGAAGATGGCATTTATGATACACCATTTAAAACTTATTTTTCGAATCTCTCATGAGGTTTAAAGCTCATTAACTCCAGTCCTTGCATGGAGGGGGATCAAACTTGAAATATAGGACTTATGTCTACCCCATAAACAGTTTGATGTTCCGATGAGGTTTAAATCTCATTAACTCCAGTCCTTACAAGATTGTGAAAATCAGACACAATGAACCGGAAGAAGAGGTTCATAGTTCGATGTTCCGATTAGGATCGAACCAGGGTTAAACCAAATGATGTAATAAAAGTACTAATTTTATTTAAATATAGAATAATTACACGATAATGATGCAATCATTTAAAAATATGACAAAAATTTAAATAATTTGAAGGGTCAAATTTTTATTTAATTATAGCATAAAACATTAATGAATGCCCTATTTTTTAATTATATGGGTCAAAATTCGACAAGATTAAGTTATATTTCTAAATTTAGGTGCATGTGCATTCAGGAAAAACTATTTTTCCCCCAATCTAAATAGCAGGGTGAGATGGTGAATTGACTAACTGGCTGCCTTCAAGTTGACAGATGCAATAGGAGCATCTCCTAAATCTTCTTTTGTGGCCTCCATCCAAGTAGAATCTAGCAAAGAGTAGTTGCTGCTACCCTCAGTTGTTGGTGGAGATTTTTTAATAAGTTCACTTATTGTAGGAGCTTTAAGTACAATTTTCTTTTCACTCTCATTTTTCTTTAATCTTTTTTTTGGGTGGGGAAGAAGTCTCCCCAAGATCTCTCCTAGCCTCTGATGCAATCAAAAATTTGGGAGAGGGCCCCAAATTTTTATCACAAAAGAAACTCTTTCTAGGAACAAAATAAAGACATAAAAATATTCAAAAAGACACAAATTCTATAAACCACAACTTTATATAATAAAATGACTTGCAAACAAAGACTCTTACAAACTTTGACGCTTACAAATGTTTGACAAATTTATGACTTCAAAACAAACACCTAAAGAAGCTTTCATCCATTAGAAGAAGGATACAGGTGAGGTGGCACTTGCGGAGAGACGAAAGAGGTTAGAAGCCGAGAAGAAGGGTGGAAAGAGCTCGCAAGATTTCCCAAGAGATAGAAGAAGAAGAGATGGAACAAGCTCGCAAGCTTTTCCAACAAAACCCGCAGGTTTACATTTCCAAAAATAACTCACATATCTATCTTAAAACAACCACAAAATAACTCTATTTATAGGCACAAAAGAAGGAATGCAAACAACCACATAATTGAATTTTCACAAGAACCCAAGCATCATAAGTCACGGAATTCCTCCGAGCATTTCATGGAAAACAGCCCAGCCAGGGAACCAAAGAAGCAGCCACGGGAACCAAAGAGGCCCGCACAGAACCGAGGCGCCAAACGACACGGAAAGGCCACCCAGCTCGGGAATCCAGCAGAAAACCAAGGAGCCATGGCACGGGAAATAACCAGCACAGGAAGCCCAAAAACAGCCACGGAATCCCATGGGACAAAGATAAATATTAAAGAAGAAAAGGGGAGGAGAAGGGACAAGAAATGGGGGAATGAACCTCAATTTATGAGCTAAAAAAGCTCTCTACTAGACATTAATGAGCTGTTATTTAGTAGAGGAAAGCATTTATGAGCTTGAAACATAAGAGTTGATTCGAGTAGAACTTACGAATGAGTTGATTCGAGTAGAACTTACGAAATTTTCAACTCAACTTGTTTTGACCCATTCCTTGCCTACATCAGCCTCCCTATACATAATCCATGTTCTTTTGCACCAGCATCATGGCAAGGTCTCTAGCATAAAATTTTAGATTATGTTCCATGGCCTAGAAGGAAGAAAGGTATGGCGAGATTAGTGTTGAAGGTTTCAAAAAAGAAAGAATGGGATTATTTATAGAATTTTCTGATTTCTCCATGTGAAAATCAGCCATTGTCTAATCGCAATGATTATTTTATCAATTTAATTGCATATTTGATAAAAGAAGATATTTTTTATTCATTGTCTTTTTATTTTTTGCAAGTTGTTTTTGAAAAGATAAAAGAGAATTAGGGAACTAATGTACACCTAAATATGTCCAAAGCCTGATTCAATTAAATTCGATCAAATTAAAAAAAAAAAGTCGATCCGGTCCGAACCTCTGATAATAACTCATTTCTGAGAAATACTTGAAAATATCTTTTAGATAAGTTAGCAATGTGGCAACTTGACTCAGCAAATCGGTCGTAGCACAAGTCATCTATGTTGCAAATTGGCTATTCAACCAGTCCAACTGAAAGGTGACTTCATGTAACATTAGTGATTTCATCCTTGAAACTAAAAAATTGCAAGTCAGCGACTCCTTCCAGTGAGTTGGCAATTGGATAATATCAATCAAGCATTGCAACCTTCAAAATGAAGCTCCAATCAACAGTTATCCGCATGTACTTTTTATATATGTCTTAGCTATATTTCAAGCTACATAATTTATATAATCGAATTTATTAGTCTTTAAATAACTTTCCCTTTAGCACTTAAAATCCTGTAAATATGTGGTCATTAAGTTATTTTGGGTGACCGATAGATCGTATTATTCCATTCATTTTAGCAATAAAACTCCCAAAACATCTCTCTTAGAGCTCATTTCTCTGTTCAAACTATTTTTTTTCTCTCTCTTATCTAAGTTTTACTAATAACCTTGCGGTCTTGCGAGTAAATTCTAAGTGTCATCTATGTATAAATCTAATTCCGATGATGTTGATATCCAAACTCATTTTGTCTCTTTACCTTTGATTCATGTGGTTAGGATTACCATGATAAGTATTAGCACTGAGTCTTAGAAGAATGAAATCGTTCCCTACTTTATTGAAAATGACTTTTTTCATCAAGTTCGTTTCATTAACCCAATTTAGTTAAAATATGTAGAATGTTTTCTAAATACATGTTTGCCTATCAAGTGGAATCCTAGTACGGAGTTATTACCACATTGGTTAAGTATGCTTTCTTAATATTAGTAATAGAAACCTTCATATTGATTTATTTATTTCTCAATGAGTCCTTGTTTTGTTACTAAACAACCACCTTTTGTTCTAGCAGTTATTCCGGCCGCCAACATATTCTCTTTGGTTTTATCTTTTGATCTTTGGACCAATGTTGTATCTTAAAAGAAGTCTCACTGATGAGTAATCTTGCTTATGCTCTTTTTACACTTGGCCTTTTCAGCTTGGAATCAAATCAAACAAACAAGATATGCTCCATCAGCCAATGTGATTCAAACTCCCTTTTGAATGAGGTAAAACGGATGAATATAATAGGATTGATGCTGCTTTTTCCTGGAAAGCTTTTACTATAGTACTTCGGTTTCTTAGAATTTCACGAGTTATCATGTTTGTTTGGTAAAATTACTGGGTACATCCAGCTACGAGAGTTCTGCTCTCTGCTTTGCTATGCTAGTTTTAGCTGTTTACTTCATCATTATAAAAGGTTTCTATACATTAGAAAGGCATCATTAACTTAAATCCTGTACAGATTACAAAGGCATCATTAATTCCAGAATCCAGTTTTATTGCCAAGCCAGCAGCCTCATGGCTTGATGACTTCCTTGTATGGTTGTCTCCAGAAGCATTTGGTTGCTGCCGTAAGTTTGTAAACGGAAGCTACTGTCCTCCAAATGATCAGGTAGTGTGCTATATTTTGGATTTGTTAATTTCAATATGAATACTTTATTGATTTGCAAATAGCTTGATATATTGGCCATTTCTAAAAAAAAAATAATCCCAGATGTGTCTCGGGCCTGTTTGTCTGCATTTTCTGCAACTATGTTTAAAGGAGCCACTGATTGTGAAAGGGAAATTAAAATCTGCTGTCAGATAGCTAATTAAGAATCAGAAATCTATGAACAAAGCTTAAGCTTGGCATTTGTTAGTGGCAGTAGTCTTTATCCATATCATTTAAATAAGAATAAGATTACAATAAAAAACTATATATATATATATAATTTGGCTAAAAATGAAAATTTGCCTAAAACGGCCTTGTAATATGTATGATTTAACTCTGTAGCTGGATTCGACTTTTTCTTGATGTATTAAATCAATTCTTTTATAAGATAAACTGATGATTTGTGCTGCATCAATATCTTCTCTATTTATTTTAGTTTAGTTTTTCTTTTAATGTCAATCCTAGTCCACAAAAGGTTTTCAATCATGCTACGCTTGGTATGCTTCTTTCCTTATTTTTACTTTCACAGTAATTCTACCTATTTTTTTAAGCATCTTTTATTCTTCATTCTTCATGTCTAAATCATTTAATTCTTGTTTTCATAATTTTGTTGTCATCTGGTTCCTCCCACAGTGTCTCTAATAAAAACTTTTGCAATTGAATTAGTAATTTATTATGAACTAATTTGTAGATTAGTTATAGTCTATGATGCATCAATATGCACACAGCAACACGGACATGATTTAATTGATACAAGACACCCATTATTAAAAATATAAGGCACAAAAAGTATTGGGAACAACTTTATATTATTATATCTTGAAAATAAAAACAATTATGTAGTACTTACATAAATTAAATAAATATAAATTAATTCATATCTATGATGCACCAACACTTCTTTTCAAAATGGTGTGCAGTGTCCAACACGTATTTGACATGACACACATTCGACATGTGTCGGACAGGCAAAAAATTTGTCTGATTAAAAAAATATTAAATACAAATTGGGCACATGTGTCTAACACACTTGTCAAAATCTTTTTTTTTTTATTTTAAAATAGATTTTTTTTTGTATTTAATCTTTTATTTATTTAAAGCATAAAAAATAATTTTCTTATTTTTTATTTATAACACCAAATCAATCGCCTCCGCTCAATATCTCATTCATCGAATATTCTCATTTTCATTTCTCTTTAGCGGGTTGCAACTTTGGTTTCATAATAATGTTCGATGTCATCTCAACATCAAAGTCTGGTATTGTCTTGACATTAATGCTCAACGCTGGAAATTTCTACACCCACAACTTGACAGCACATCTTTGCCTGATGTCATCTTAACATCGATGACCAACGCCCTCTCTACATCAACGACCAACGCCCTCTCTACATCGACGACAAATGCCCTCTTTACATCGATGCTCGACTCTTTACAATTTTATCGTCTCCTCTTTCGATGCTTGATACATGTCATCGACTCCCAACTCTCGACATCCTAATATTAATCATTTTAAGCACAAATTTTAATTAAATGATTTATTATTTCTAAATTATTTTTAATAGTATACTTATTTATTTAGATATATTATTTTAAAAATATAGAAATTATAATACCATATCCGACCCATGTCCATGTCCTATTTTTTCAATAATTGACGCGCCCGTCTCGTGTCTTATCCATGTTGCAGTGTCCGTGTCTGCGCATAATGCAATCATATAATAATAAATTTATTTCAATTGCTCATAAAATAAGGCACATATTTAAATTTATTAAATACCTTAATATTAATTGAAAAAGAAATAGTTACATTATATTATAGATTGTTAGCTTGAAGTTAAGAAAATTGATTGTTTTGTATAAAATAAAAATAAATATTGTAAAACAATCACAAGAAATAAAGATGAATAAGAAAAAAAAATTAGTATTAAGCGACTATTAAGTTATTTAAGTAATATTTTTAAAATAAAATAGAATGTGTGACTTTGAAAGTTAAAATTTATTGTTCATGACACCTGTGGGACATGCTGATGCGGAGATCGGCACGAAGATCTGGCGCATCTATCACAGGAGGCGTCGTAAATCGACGGCTCTAATTTAAGTTGTCGTTTATGAATTATTTTCTGCATTTTAGTTTCTATTTTATGTTATTTTCTATTTTACCCCTAGGTTAATTTATTTGAGTGTTGTGGCCCAAGGGGCATTTTTGTAATTTTCTATTTTCATATGTTATGGCCTATAAATAAGGGCCTTAAGCTATTGTAATGGATGGTTAATTAATATGAAAATTTGTGTTCCACCCTTGTGTTCTTCTTGTGAGAGAGCGTTAGTGGGATTCCTATGAGAGGAATCGGAGTTGTCACCAGTCGCAGGATGGGTCCGGGCTCGTGATTTGAAGTCCC